CTTCCCCTCCCCCGTGGGTTTCTGTTAAGTTTCTCGGGATCCACATAAGAGTGAAAACATATGGTATCTGTCTTTCTCTGTATGGCTTATTTCACTTAGCATCACACTCTCCAGTTCCATCCACGTTGCTACAAAGGGCCATACTTCGTTCTTTCTCATTGCCACGTAGTACTCCATTGTGTATATAAACCACAACTTCTTTATCCATTCATCAGTTGATGGACATTCAGGCTCTTTCCATAATTTGGCTATTGTTGAGAGTGCTGCTGTAAACATTGGGGTACAAGTGCCCCTATGCATCAGTACTCCTGTATCCCTTGGGTAAATTCCTAGCAGTGCTACTGCTGGGTCATAGGGTAGGTCTATTTTTAATTTTTTGAGGAACCTCCACACTGTTTTCCAGAGTGGCTGCACCAGTTTGCATTCCCACCAACAGTACAAGAGGGTTCTCACGCCAGTCAGAGTGGCCAAAATGAACAAATCAGGAGACTATAGATGCTGGAGAGGATGTGGAGAAATGGGAACCCTCTTAATTATTTTTTATTCCATTTTATCACTACTGTGGGATTATTATTTATACCTTTTTTAAAACATCTTTTTTCATAGATATCTTAGTTCAGTCTGCTGTAACAAATTACCATAGACTGTGTGGCTCATAAATAACAGAAACTTATTTCCCACAGTTCTGAAAACTAAAAGTCCAAGATCAAGGTGATAGCATGGTTCAGTGAGGACCCTCTTCTTCAGTGAGTTCCAGTGAGGACCCTCTTCTAGGCTGCAGACTATGGACTTCTTATTGGACTTATTCTCCACGTGGTGGAGAGCAGAGAAGAGAAACAGGCTCTCTCACGACTCTCATGAAGGCACTAAATCCCAACCATGAGGGCTTCATCTTTTTCCAGTTACCACCCTAGGGCTCCCCCTTTTTCCTAATGCCATCACATTGTGAGGTAGAGTTTCAACAAATACATGGCGGGTGGGAGGACACAACCATTCAGTCCATAAGAGTGCTCTGGGGTTTACGATATACACTCAAAAAAAATTGTTTTAATGTTTATTTACTTTTGAGGGAGAGAGAGAAAGAGAAAGAGTACGAGCAGGGGTGGGACAGAGAGAGATGGGGACAGAGGATCTGAAGTGGGCTCTGCACTAAAAGCCTGATGCGAGGCTCAAACTCACAGACCCCGAGATCATGACCTGAGCCAAAGTCAGGTGCTTAACGGACTGAGCCACCCAGGAGCCCCTACAATACCCTACAATATGCATTTTTAATTAATTACCTTCTACCTTCAAATAAACTCCAGCATGGATGGCTTTACTGGTAAATTCTGCCAGACATTTCGGGAAAAATGTTTTTTTCATTAGCCACTATCAAGATCTTTTCTCAGCAGCTTGATTCTGATGTATCTGGGCATGGATGTCTGTGCTTGGGGTTTGCTAAGCTTCTTGAATCTTTAAGCTTGTATCTTTTGCCAAATGTAGGACCTTTTCAATCATTATTTCGTCCAGTACTTTTTTCTGTAACATATTTATTCTCCTTCTCTTCTAGAATTCCAGTGACACAAATGTTAAAACTTTTGGTCTTATCCCAAAGGTCCCTGAAACTATTCACTTCATTTTCAATCATTTTTACTCTATGGTTCCGATTAGGCATTTTCTATTGATCTGTATTCAAAATCACTGGCTCTTTTCTCTGTCATTACCGTTTTTCTGTTGGGTCTATCCAGTGAGGATTGTTTTCTGTTTTTTGTTATTTTTCAGTTTTAAAGTTTCCATTTGGTTCTTAGGAAAACTCATAGAACTGTGCATTAATAAGGGTAAATTTTACTGTCCATAAATTATACCTCAATGAACTTTATTTATAATAAACTAATTCTGTGCTGTACATACCTCTATGTATGGTATGTACATAGGGGGCACAATGTGTGGTGCCGTTGTTCTATTAAGACACTGAAAAATCCAATAAAATGAAACTAGTTGATCTTGATCATTTAGACATAAAAGACAAATGATCTTTTTTTTTTTTTTTAAATTTTTTTTTTTTTCAACGTTTATTTATTTTTGGGACAGAGAGAGACAGAGCATGAACGGGCGAGGGGCAGAGAGAGAGGGAGGCACAGAATCGGAAACAGGCTCCAGGCTCTGAGCCATCAGCCCAGAGTCCGACGCGGGGCTCGAACTCACGGACCGCGAGATCGCGACCTGGCTGAAGTCGGACGCTTAACCGACTGCGCCACCCAGGCGCCCCTAAATGATCTTTTTTTAATTTAAAATATCTTGTGGCCAAAAATTACTGTGGCATTCATAAGCAGATATTCTTAAAGCCAACCAAAAAGTTTAATTTGTCAATGCTACTCCCTTTGTGTACCTTGGTATATTAGAATAACAGTTATCTAGTATTGAGGAATTTCTGAAAACTTGGGGGGTCTTTTTGGTCTTAAGAGAATTAATACATCAAGAAAGGCAATCTTCAGCTGCCTTTCTCTTGCTTTAAGAAAGTAGCACAGATATTTATCTATATAATACTGTAACAGCTCCAGCAAAGAGTTTGGCTAACACTTCTCAGGAGCAGTTAAGTGATGGTAAGAATAGATAGTACAGAAATGTGAGGGAATAGTTTGTCTCTTAAAGCACCAAAGCTAATGAGTTCATTTCCGGATTTCAGAGATAAATTATTATTGTAACATAACCTACTTATAAATTGTGGGATCTTGTATCTCTTATGACTTTTTTTTTTTTGTCAGTCAATTGAATTCTCCGGTTGTTCCCCTTTAAAATGAAGGGTTTGAAATCAGAAATCTATTTCTAAGGTCCCTTATAACTTCACAACTATTTGCCTTCAAAGACTCCTACTTCTTGTTTTATTTTATTCATCCTATGTAGCCTTTTGACTGAAACGTAGGAATACAACTTATTGAATTGGAAAAGTATGCAGCTGCCAAGCATTTTTCCAGTATTTTGAATAAAAATTCAAATAATCATGATTCGAATGATTCAAACTGTTAAGTACTGTTGACTAGTAAGATCACCTCATTGATAACTAATTAGTAAAGACCCTGAAAAATAGCACATAGAAGTGAGTTTTCTAAAGGCTGAACTGTAACATAGCAGATATACATTTTCCCTCTTGATACGTTGAGACCACTAATTTGAAGACTCATGGCTTCTCACCATTGCAGTTTTGCAGCTTTTAAGAGAGTACTTGAGATTTAAATGCTGAGGTGATTTCTAAGACTCACAAAGAAGTTAACTTAACCGTGGAATTGGTTGGCTCTTCTGACATTGTCTGTTTGTAAGAAAAAAACATTCACTGGTAAAATTTATTTTCTTTTTTCTTTGCCTACAGGCTACGCATATCCTTTAAATGGATGGTTCGAGCTTTCTCTGGATATTTAGCTACAGATCAACTCCTGCTTTTGTGGGATAGAATCCTAGGATACAACTCTCTGGAAATTCTTGCTGGTAATAAGTGCTTGTTTGTAAAACACATGCTGTTTCTATAATAAAGCCCCTTTACTTTCTTTCTTTCTTTTTTTTTTTTGAGACAGGGAGAGACAGAGCATGAACAGGGGAGGGTCAGAGAGAGGGAGACACAGAAACTGAAACAGGCTCCAGGCTCTGAGCTGTCAGCACAGAGCCCGACGCGGGGCTCGAACTCATGGAACGCGAGATCATGACCTGAGCCGAAGTCGGATGCTCAACCGACTGAGCCACCCAGGCGCCCCAAGCCCCTTTACTTTCTGACATTCACCATCTGTAATTGCAGTTTGAGTCTATAGGTGTCTGTCATTTCTAATTCCTAAACATTTAATAGATTTACCTGCCTTAGAAGACAAGTACTGAAGTTCTGAGATCTAGATACTTCCGTGTAACTTCCCAATACTAGTGTATCCCGAGTCTTTTTTCTTTGCTCCGAGGAAAGTCCATTTCTCCTCCCCTGCTTTTCGTTTAGCCAGGGCTTACTGTCAGCTGCTGTGAGGTCAGCACAGCAGAGTGTAGGGATACGTCAGTCCTACTCCTGGCTTCTCTACCTTCGCACGTGTTCCGAGCCCCTTCTCAACCACGGCCTAAAATCTAAGCTGACACGGAGCCTCCCTGCGAAGTTGAAATCTCAGCTCTTCTGGACTTGAGTTTGAGTTCTGGACTTGAATGCAAAACCTTTTCCTTTTCGCTAACACCCTCTGACTCCTGGTGGTTAAGTTTCCCCTTTTAGGTATTCTCTTCAGCCAAAAAAGATTTCATCTGTTTTTTTCAGGAAGCCACAGATTGATCTCTTATTATAATTAAGCGGGTCTTATAATAGAGATACAAGACAACTGTATGATAATTCATAGGGCACAGATTTCTTGTTAATTATATTATTTTGCTTATCTTATACAAAATAATCTCAGTTATTTTAATCATTGGGATTATTAGGAAATTCAAATAAATAGCACAAGGTTTTCACAACAATGGATGGAGAGCAGAAAAGCTGGCAGAGTGCTGGGTCCAACCTTCTCCAGTTGTCTATATTGAATAAATTATCTAACCTGTGTGAGTCTTCATTTCCTTACCTTATATTGATAGCATTATCAAGATCCCACTCTGGGTAATTGTGGAAACAATGCTTCATTGAAGAAGTCCCTTTTCTTATAGAAGATTCTTTAGGTACCATATTAACATATTCTTGAATGCTGAGAGGTCAAGAATAATAGTATGTTAATTCAAAAAGCAAAATTAGAGTAATAATAAAGTTTCTTGAAGAAAAACATCACCCTTGGTGTAATCAGAGACACCACTTAATGGTGCTGCTAACAACTCCCAGTATCCTTCTGTCTCAATTGGATTTTGAGCCCATACAGATAGGCGTGAGGAAAGAAGGGTCTGCCCTCAGCTGTCTTGGCTGAATGGCAGTGATGCATAGAATCCACAGGGAGAGGAATCCTAGAGGGCATCAGGTATGATTCTTTTAGATGTTTCTGACAGGTGGTCCTCACCCTCTGCTTAAACACTTCAGTGTTGGGTTGTCCTTGTCTGACGAGTTAGCCCATCTCACTTCTGGATGACATGACTTGCTAAAATGTACTCCTGTTAAGCCAGGGTTATCATCATGTTTTTTCTACCCTCGCCTTTCCCCAGAGCCTTCTACTTTCCAGGCTAAGAAGCCTTGTTTTCTGCTACTGTTTCTCAGGCAACAGGATTGTAGACTTTCCAGCAAATAAATCTCCTCTGGGTGTATCATAAATTTTGAAGAGTGTTGTGTTTAGTTGCTGTTGTTGTTGTTTATCATTTCAAAATATTAGAGCATGTTAAAGAAAGGGGGCTCAGTATAAGAAAGTACTTTCTAATAATTAGGATTTTTCAAAACTAGAATGGGCTTTTTAATGGTCACCTGAAGGTTAAGAGGTTTTCTACTGTGAAAGAAATGTGGAATTGAAAGGCCTTTAAGCCCTCTAACAATTTAAATGTTCTCATTCTGGGACTTATCACCCCTCAGCAAACTTATGTGAACGAGAAATAAATGGATGTTGACTAACGCATTTCCTCGAAGCTAGGCACCCTGCTGGAGCTCAGAACATTAATAAAAACGTTACTGATGAACAGGTAGAAATGCACTCTGCACCGGTTTCCTACTTTCCCTGAACGGCTTTTAAAAAATCAGCAGGGAAGAATTACAGAACATGTAGAAATGGAACTAGACTCCCCTCCCATGAATTCAGATCAAGAGCCAGAGGATGGATAATTTCATGTAGGGGTACCCAAACTCATTGTTATTATTTCAGACATTTGGGGGGATGAATATTTTGGGACCACCTTTTTTGCCCAAGTTAGTTATTATATAGCCTTTAGAAGGTTTTAGTAAATATTACTAATTTAGTAAGTATTAGTAAAAATTAATTATGAATTCATGAGGGTCTTTTGAGGAACAGTTTAAAGCAAAGGTGCCTGAATGTTTGTGATAGAGTTGCTTAGAATTAACGAGCATAGCTTAAACGGCCAAAAGTAAATGTTAGAGTCTCTCTACTTCATGTGAAGCATGGTTGCAGTTGAAAATATCCCAAAGTGGAGAGCTTTTCTCCTTGGCAAACAGAAGTGTTCTGCGGAAAGGCTGGGCAAATCAAACATGAGGCAGACGCAAAGGAACTTCTGTGATGTGACACCAAGATAAATAAAGGTTATGAGCACATAAGCACTTGGATGCTGAGGTCAATTAGTGGCCTGATCTTTTTTCCCCCCTCTTATCTACCTTTGGAAAAACAATTTCCCGCCATGTAAAACTCTTTCCGGCTACAGCAGAAAGTTTGGCCATCCTGTCAAGCCTTCACCAACTCTGTTAAATTATACACAAAAAAGGAAGTAGCCATCATACTCCTTAGCTTCTCAAATGTCTCCATTGTCAAAATGATTCTAGATATTAGGAAAACTATAGAGAAGTTGCTGGTCGAAAGAAATTATTTTCTTTGATACTCTTATAAACATAGACACTCAGTGACGCTAAAGTACTTAAGTTTTCTCCTTTTCAGTTAAAAGGTAAAAGTCTTTGTCCCTGATCTCTTGCATCCCTTGTTACAAATTAAATAATCCCATCTGATTTGGCTTTTTTAAGTTTTGTTTTACCACTACCATCTTCCCCCCACCCCCCACCCACCCCCAGAATTTTCCTGCCTAACTAGTTGCAATGCTTTTTTTTTTTTTTGCCAGACTGTCCAAAATCTATTGTACCCTAAAAAATGCCTGTGTTTCCCAGTCTGGTCTGGTTGCTCTGTGCCTCTCTCTGGGAAAATTAAGAGGTCTGGATGTTGACGTCTACTCCCAGGATCATCATAGCATCATCCTTCAGGCCATCTCTGGAAAACCATTCCGAAGGGCAGCAGAGAGGACTCATAGGAAAGCACCCAGATTTTCATGTCAGGGAAGACTCATTACTACTTACCTTCAGTCTAAGTGCTAAGAGTGGTTAGATGCTTAGGTTCCAGAGCCAGGGTTAAGTTCTCACTCCACTGTTTTCTACCTGTGTGGCTTTGAACATGTCATCCAAACTCACTGGGCCCCAGTTTCCACCTTAATATAATAGGGCTAGCAATGGTTCTTAACTCAGAGTTGGTATGAGAACTATCAGTAGCACTGTTGTGATTCCCACAGTAAAAATGTATTTTAAAAAACTATCTATTTGGATTAGCTCTGCCAGAAACTCAGGAGCCAGTCTTTCAAATAATTTTGAAGATTCCTTACCATTTATTTCCTAAATTTCAAGGACTTGTGGGGTAGAGAATAAACTACCACCACTGGTGATGGAAGAGAAAAAAGGGGGGAGAAGTCAAGAGCCATCCTTAGGCTTGTCATCACCTTGTCAGGGCACCCACCTCTCACATGGGTCCTTTTGCTGGCCATGATGATGCACTCCCACATGTGGGGCTTTGTGGCAGATTATGTAAGAAGAAAGATTACACGTTAGCATTACTTTCTTTTCATAGGCATATGCAACGTACGCAAACGTTGCTTTCCACTCCATGTACATTATTGACCTTCAAGGTGTCCTATAATTTTTTTTTCCAAAGTTTCAACTTCTTTTTCCTATAGCCAACGTTAATGTAAATTTCAGGATCAGTCCACAGCAGCTCTCCCCACATACCTATCCACTTATGACACTCTAAGAAAGTCAATGCTGAGTATAAAAGTATAACAAAATATTATAAAAATATTTTTTTAAGAAATTGCTTTATTGCCACATTTCTATCGGGACCTCTTGAGACATATGAAACGTGATCTGATAAACTTGAAAATACAGTCTCCATATAACTTTTCAGAATCCTGTTGCGTTAGTAAAAAACACCTGCGTCAAATAAACCTTTAATTGTAAGTAATCATTAGATCTCCGTGCCATTTAAAAACTTGTAATTTAAGTTACAGGCATGAAAGAAATCATTTCTAAAAACGGCTCTTTTAAGACCACTGAATTTTCCTTTTTCCCCAAACTATGGGATTTGGTTTATCTATCCGCCGGGCACTCTGTTCTCCGGAGGAGATCATTTCCCTTCGTCGCAGGACCTCAACTGCAATGCATGCGTGCAAGTCACGTAAAGCACCAGTTCTGGGCTCTCCTAGGGGGTTGCGGGCATAGCAGTAAATTTGTCGGGCTGATGAGTAGGTCAGCAGTTGAAATAGTGTGCATTCTTTTCCAGTCCTGGCAGCTGCTGTGTTTGCTTTCCGAGCAGTGAACCTGATGGAGGTGACATCACTGGCTGCAGCTGAAGTAAGGATAAATTTCACTGGGACGGGATGGAAATAGTTCCTGAGAGAGTGCCAGGCTTGGGCACTTCAGTCCCAGATGCATAGGACACACATTACTCATAGCCTCATTTCTTCACTTGGGTAAAGCCTATACGTTTCGAGCTAAGGAATATTAAGTATTCAAGATTCCTTAATTAGTTGAGAACAATCTTCTTGTGAAGGCGTCACACACAAGATTATATAGGAAACCATTATAACTGTTACGGGAAACCAGACACCCAGTAGTTGTAGTAGAAACTATTGGAGCCCAAGTTGCATTTTCTTATTGCACACGTCCACATGTTCTGCTAGAACAAAGAAAATCTAGTCAGGAGAGTTAAAGAGCATGCGTTTGGATGATACAGTAAAGATACGTAGGCGCTTTGTTTTTTGGTCATTTAAAATAATGACTTAATGTTTTAATGTTTCTTTTCAATGGTATAATTTATACCTGACACACAGTTCAATTAAATAGCGGCTTACCATATTACTCTATTTGTTTTTTCTCATAGAAATTTAAATGATACCCTTAAAATAGCTGCCGACATTCTTTGCTTAAAGGGAAAAGGATGTTTATGCGTCTTGCAACTGAATAAACATTAGTTCCGTCTCAAAAACCATTTCCTAAAGCCAGATACTCCTTATACTAGTATAACGGGACCAAGATTCATAATGTACGTTTATTTATAGAAGCAAGTTGAAATATTAGACCTCTTATAAACTCATGCTACCTTGTATATTTGAAGAAGGCTCAAGGCAAAAGTCCAGGTTATTTTCTACTGCACGTTTTAGCGTTTTGCACATGTTCTAACATTAAGATATTGAGAAAAGCGAAGGGAGGTCGTAGCTTCAGGACAGGTTTCTAGGACGAATGTGAAGAACTCAGAAAGTGTGCCAAAGCCAGAATTGCATGGCAGTGGTGTTTCTGTTGTGCTGTATTTCATAGGCTTCCTTCTGCCAGTTAGAATACTGACATTAACAATTCTTTTTGTTTTGTTTTTTTTTGTTCCAGGCAGTTCTTGCTGACCTTTCTACCTTAAAAGTTATGCCTCTTCTTCAAATTTTTCTGTTTGCTACTGTCACCTGATCTCCTTCAAGGTCACTGACAACACATCTAGTTTTTTTCATTAGAAAATAATCATGAACTATGCAAACTCTGCATAAAACCAAAATTAAACTTCGCATATAAGCCAATAAAGATCATGTTCCCTCTTCAGTTAAACCTAAGTCGTTTTTCACTTTTTGAAACAAAGCTCTGCGCACCAAATGTTCCACTGCATGCTGCTGATTTTCAAGAGAGAAGCAATAGACATAACTTCTGCTAAACTGAGCATACTATATATATAATCCTGACTTGTAAAAGGCATGTAACGGTATATGCAATAAGAACTAAAGATACTGTAATAAACTTGAAGAGGTAATGTAGCCTCTGGGACAATTTTCTTCCGTCAGTTTGTAAGTTTATCTCTAGATAATGTATCATTTTGTCTTATGAGTTGTTCTTCACTCAGAGCCAGGGGTGGAGTAGAATGTGGGAAGACTGGAAAAAGGTAATGGAATTCAAGTGTGCTTTGGTGTTTTTAACACCTTTTGTCTCACCAGTGATCTTCTAGATCCCTTTCCACTTTATTTCTCCCTTAAAGGTCTCTACTGGGGAAGGTCAAATAACAGTTGTCTCCATCTGACAATATTTATTCATCACTTTCCGAAAAAAGAAAATTACGGAGTGATCCCTTCAAACTTCTCAACCTTCCATCTCTTGCCTTGAAGACTTGACCCTGCTGAGGCCTGTTGCCAGGTTCTCCCACTTTGGACGTGCGCCAAGAGGGCATCACGGATTCGATGAAGGGAATGAAAAATCAAAACCGTATCCAATTTTGCTGAATCTTTGTTTAACAAGATTTGCTTCTAGGGCAGAGCATCTGAGGAACTAGAAGTAGGTACTATACGTTCATTTTGGAACTGAAGACGGGGGGGGGCGCCTGGGTGGCGCAGTCGGTTGAGCGTCCGACTTCAGCCAGGTCACGATCTCGCGGTCAGTGAGTTCGAGCCCCGCGTCAGGCTCTGGGCTGATGGCTCGGAGCCTGGAGCCTGTTTCCGATTCTGTGTCTCCCTCTCTCTCTGCCCCTCCCCTGTTCATGCTCTGCCTCTCTCTGTCCCAAAAATAAAGAAAAAACGTTGAAAAAAAAATTAAAAAAAAAAAAAAAGAACTGAAGACCTTATGCAAGGCATCAGTCTTATTTTGGTCTTTATTATAAGTGAGTCTTTATTATAATTATTTTATATGACTTGCAAAAGACCTACCACATCTGTCATTCAGAATAATAGAATATGAAAAAAAAGTGTCCAAATTCAAGATGCTGATCATTCCAACAGAACTTTGAATCAATAGATTGATATTCTCACTGAATGCTTAGCATTGTATTTTGTCCAAATGTATTTCCTGAGTCTTTTATTTAAAGAGTATGTATTAATTAGGAAGTGAATGAGGTTTAGCTCAGCCTACAGGTATGCCGGGGTTTGATATAACTAGTTCTTAATTTGAAAATCTTTATATATGCTTTATTCATCAGGTACCTATTGAAAAGAAAATCATAATTTCTTATTCAGGATCGATTCTTCAGAAAGCCCATTTCAGTGCTTTGGCAAGTGATTCAGTTATAATCCTATGCTTTGCCATGCGCTGCGTGCAAATGCACATTCATCACGAAGATATAAGCACACCCTTTGACTATTCTCTCTCTTTCTTCCCTGTTAGGGAGAGAGCGTTTTAAATGATTAAGGTCAGATGTGTATAGATATGCTCATTGTCGGTTTATTTAAGAGAATATTCATAAGCCTTTTTAAAAGCAGCAATGTAGTGGTCTCATAGAAAAACTAGACTGAGAGTTTTTGTCCTGGCTGTAAATCCCTAGATAATTTAATCTCTCTTATCTGTAACTGGGGGGGAGGGCCGGCAGCAGGAAATTATTTGTTTGTGTTTACCTTACCAGGTCGAGTAAGACCAAATGAGAAAATATATTTGAAAGTGATTTTTTTTAACTGCAAAGCACCAAACAAGTACAAGCTGTTGTTGGTAATTAATTCTAACTATGACATTTTAAGGCCAAGTGGCGGAAGATAATATATGAGGAATGCTTGACTTCATTAGCCTCTGTCTGACTTTAGTTGATCACTGGAGACTGGGACCACACAAGATGAAACATGGAGCGTGGCATAGCCGATCCTTCCATTTGAAGCAGGCGGCTCTGGCCCGTAGTTCTGAGCTGAACCCCAAAGCTTCTGCACGTTTCGCTGCTGTCACAAACCCTCGGCCAGGCTGCTCTTAGCTTCTTGTTAATAAATTGCATCAAGGGCAGTCAGGCTGTCTTTCCCACTCTGCCCCTCGCTGCACTCTGCACACGGCTCCTCTTGGCTTTCTTCCTCCTGTGTCCTCCCCACCCCGCCGCCTGCCAACCCCTGAAACCCTCCACATATGCTCCGCTAGGGTCACAAGGACCTAAGCGACCAGGGCTAACTGTGTCGTCTTTCCATCTGTGGCATTCACACTGATGGTGAAATAGCCTAGTAGACATTGTATTTGGCTCTTCTGGATTTCAATTCACCTACTAATGTCATATGTATGACTTTATATTATGGAAGAGTTTATCGAACAGACTTTCTGATAGAACTTTTTGGTAATAAGACGTTCCAGCTAACTGCAATTTCCAGCTGGTCTTAACTGCGTAGCACCCCTTACACTCAGCATGTACTCACTCTTCCTATTTTGTAGAGAAAATAAAGACCACTAGGGTTGAACCCCCTCAGTATTCCACCTGAAAACTTAGCTTTATTCCCCCTATGCTTATCTCCTTCCTTCTTTTCTCAGGAAGTGTCCAATCTATGCCTACAGCTCTCTACATACAGGTTCGGTTTGTCACTTCACGCATAAAAATTAACACCCTATTGCTTGAAGGATAAAGTCCAGGCTCTGTAGCATAGCAGGGAAAATTCACCACAGCTTGGTCTTTCCACTCTAGGCCCCCACTTGGATCCATTATCCTATCCTTGAGTTTCACCAGGTTACTTGCTGAGCCTCAGCCAGCTATGGCCATGCACCTTGTCTCTGGCAGAAGGACCTCCAGACTTCAAGGCCCATTTCAGCCTATTGTGGAGTACCCTGGAGTCTATAAACTGGAATTAATTATGCCCTTGTCTTTGTGCTCATAAAACTGTTTATCCACTAATACAGGTGCTTAGAATATTGAGTGGCAGTTTTTTGTATGTATGTTGATTCTCACATTATTTTATCCTGAAGGCAGTTTTCAGTGACCAGGCGGCCTAAGTATGAAGGACGAAAGGCAAATTTTCCATTTGTGTGTGTATCCCCTGACTTGTCCCAAGACTTGTTGAGATCTGTTTTTCTTGAATCTTAATTCCTTCTAAGTATCTGCTAGTCTCCCTTCTTCCACAAAGGCTCTAATTTTTATTTGGGAATTCCTTCCCCTCCTCCTCCCCCCACCCGCCGCCCCCACCCCACATGCTTCAAATGAGGCTGACTCCATCCCAGGACCTCTGGGTCCTGGCCAAGCCGGTCACCACATATCCCTCTTGGCCACAGGGATTGCTTCAGGATTAGTGCAAAAACCTAAGACCAATGAGGACCAATGAAACTTGATTGCAAGACTTTGTTTTAATCTTTCAGGAAAGCGGGGTGTAAAAAAAGAGAGGATACGGGGCACCTGGGTGGCTCAGTCAGTTGAGCGTCTGACTTCGGCTCGGGTCATGATCTCATAGCTCGTGAGTTCGAGCCCCGCATCAGGCTCTGTGCTGACAGCTCGGAGCCTGGAGCCTGCTTCGGATTCCATGTCTCCCTCTCCTGCCCTCCGCTGCTCACACTCTGTCTCTCTCTCCTTCAAAAATAAATAAACATTAAAAAAAAATTAAAAAGAGAGGATATAGGGTCTGGAGCTGCTGCCTAGAAATGGAAAGAGTGAAAAGCTGCCCTCTTGACCTGGTTGATCCCCCAGTCACATTCTACCAGTCTGCTCCCGGACTGGCACGTTGTGTGAGCCAAAAGATTCTCTTTGCAACAGAAAGGATCCTAACTGAAGGAGTAGTTACCTTGACCTTTTAGGTGACCCACTACAACATGGGTACCATTACTTGGTACGGGATTCCTGTCTACATACTGCTTAAACTGGAGGAATCTTTTTTTTTTTTTAACCTTTTTTCAATCAAGACACCACGTGACCTTGTAAGGATAAATTCTGGGTTTCAGACCTACTGAGCCACCCGAAGCACCTTAAACACACGGTATGTCTCTCAACTTTGGCCCTTCGTCCATATAGCACCCTCTGCTGAGAATGCCTTCTCTTCCTTCTTTACCTCTTACTTGTACCTCAGAACCCAACTCAGGTGTTGCATCATCAGGGAAGACTGCTCCCTTATCAATTCTCCCCATACCCCAAGTTTACACAAGTTGGGTCATAATCATATATTAGCTTTCTTTCTCTTGTACTAGACTCCTAGTGACTCCTTAATGGCCGAAATGAATTCTTTTTCAGCTAGAACCTGGCATTGTGCTTGCCCTGTAGTGGGCTGTAATAAATATTTATTAAACAAACAGCTGAAATCATCTAATTCACTCATTTTACCGATAAGGAAATATGGGCAGTTCAATGACTTGTTCAGTGTTACGCAGCATTTTACCCACTAAGTTGATTTGTGGCATTGTCCCTACAAGAGAGGATATCTTCCAACGGGGAAGGCTATCTTGAGAGAAAAAAAAACACTTCACAAACAACTTACAAACACTTCAGCTCACTCAAATTTTTTCATGTAAATTCACTTTATTAAGGTATAACTTACGTGCGGTAAAATGTACGCATTTAAATGATATAGTTCCATAAGGTTTGACACACATCACCACATCACCATCTGCACCTCGATCATTTGTGGTGTCGAACATTTCCACCACCTGAAACGTTCCTCTTTAATCCCCTTCCCATTTGATCTCCCATATACACCTTCACTCCAGGCAGCCACTCATCTGCTCTGTCCCTGAAGTTTAGATTGGCCTTTTCTAGAGTTTCATTTAAACAGAAT